ATTAAAGATTCATATAACGGAGCTCAACTATCTTGGAATTGACACTTGGCCGCTATTATTTCAAAAGGCCATTTGATTGTTCACAGTTGGAGCTAGGATTGCACGTAGATGTAATCTGCCTATCTTATGTTCGATCAGAAGTCTAAAAATTTTAAGGGATTAACGCCATTCGCGGATCTACAGACGTAAGAAAGGAGACTCTAGGAGCAAGTTTGGGCTTTCCAAAGCTTAGAATAATTCACGTTTACTTGAGCTGCTCTCATGCAGGTATGTCAGCGGACATAAGACGGTTCATTAAAGATGATATAATTGAGATATATAGCCAATCATCTTCAACCGCGGGGAGCTATGGGAGCAAAAGGGGATACATCCAAACACCCTTCTCCCGGAAAATCACATTGTATATACAAGGTCAAAATTCCCTTTTTACGTGTATATATATATATATATAATAGTTATTGAACCCCTTCCTGAAAGTCTGGTCTCCGCCACTATCTTAAACCCACATTGTTCTCATTCTTAGTTTAAAAAATACATTTTTTTCTATAAATGAAGCATAAAGATTATTATTCTGTTCATGTTTGAAAATGTAGAAGAGCAGTTCTCCTAACCCTTTTTACCTGAATATTTTTTGTCATTCATTGGACCAATATCACATTCAATTACCTAATATTCGCTTATCCATTTGTAGCTTCTGTAATGCATGAGAGCAGTAAACGCGGATTGCCATTTCTATTAATTGAGAAGAAACTGTGCATTAGCATAGCTCAAGGTACACTGGAAAGGAATAACTAAATTTTGTCTTGTTTGACTAAAAGTTTCCAACTTTCATTTATAGGTTTACATAACTCAATCAGTGGATTGCAATAATAAAATTTAGCGCAGGAGTTGAATATTTCTTAGCTTAAGTGTTATTCCAATTAATTACGTAAATCATAAACCTTAAAAGGGCAGTCCGGTGCACTAAGCTCACGCTATGCGCGGAGTCCGGGGAAGGGCCGGACCACAAGGGTCAATTGTACGCAGTTTTACCCTGCATTTCTGCAAGATGTTGTTTCCACAGCTTAAACTCGTGATCTCCTGGTCACATAAACCTTATTTTACTTACTTGTATAGAGCTGTTGTTTTATGTATAAAGAACAAGAAAGGCTTGTGTAATAGGACATGGAGTAAATAATGTTAGATGTCCTCTATTGTCAACAAAGCAGTTGCGGCTTATATCAACTCTTTTGTTACCTTTTTTTAATATTTCATGGCTTGACTCTTGGGCAATCAAGGCGTGTGGGGCTGACCAGATCAAGTCATTCTCTCATGCTTAATTTTTATCACGTTCACCAAAGATTTTACCATTTAGCACGATAACTACAATTAATTAAGTCTGATTTTGGTTAGGGGAAGACTATAGGCCGAGCTATGCATATTATTGTCTAATCGATTAACAAATAGATGAACTTTGACAATTGTCTCCCAAGAATTATTTGTTTAAGAAGCCTAGATTCTTTTCATTCCAATTTCCTTTTGATTTGTTCTTTAGAAGTGGACTTTATCAACTTCACCAAGGTACGAAAATAACTAAGTCAACAAGTAATAAGATAAAGAGTCGTAATCAACCTCCTGTCTTGCATAATAAATGAGTTAATGTTGAAAAAAAATTACGTAGCTGGTGATTGTCTTTTGTCTATCATGAGCCAGATCAATCATCATTTACTTGTAGAACAAAAGTTTTCTTCGCTTTGGCAAATTAAAATTATGAAGAATTGTGGTAATCCTAACTAAAAAGCTACCAACTCCATTTATTTGATTATCCTTTATAACGCTTTCTTTCACTGAAAACACTATATATACTAGTGATTCCATCTCAATTCCATCACAGCAAATTAACTAGCCTTCTTCAATATTCAAATTAAGCCTTTTCTACACCAAGTGTGCTTAGAACTTAATTTCAAGATGGCTTGGTCCGTGAGCTTCTTCATTTTCATATCTCTACTTGTTTTTGCACCAATTTGTTTCTCTACTAAGACAAATGATGGTAACCTATACCCACAATATTATTACCGATCATGCCCAAAAGCACAAGAAATTGTCAAGTCTATTGTTGCCAAGGCTGTTGCTAAAGAAGCCCGAATGGCTGCTTCGTTGCTGAGGCTTCATTTCCACGACTGTTTTGTCAAGGTAAAACATATTTACTGTGACATTCTTTATGTTACTAGATATGGCAATGCTGAACTTCTCATATGCATGTGAATCCTTTGATGACAACATTTGAATCCTTTGGTTGAGTCTGTTGTCTAAATCTTGTTAAATGTACATGTACATAAATGTTGTGCCATGACAACTCTACATGGCAGAAATTTACATGTTGGAATAACTCTGAATAGCATACTAGCATGCAAGAATACACTTGCTAAAAGTTACTGTACTAATTTTGCACTGAGAGTATATACAAAATAAAGCCTTCTTTCTTTTGGCTTTTTCGGCTTTGAACTTCTTAATTAAAGTCAAACCTCTCTATACTGTTTAGAGACCATATACTAGTATAACATAACATGAAAATTGGTTCCAAAGAAATTTGGCCATTATGGTGAAGTGTTGTTACAGAGAAGTTGGACGGTATAGTTTATCAGGAAGCTCTGTGTGTGTATGCTAATAGAGATGTAAAAACTTATGCTAAGCGATTGTTTCACAATGTCATGTAGGGATGTGATGCATCTTTGCTTCTGGATAGCAGCAGAGGTATTGTAACAGAAAAAGGATCAAACCCCAACAGGAATTCAGCTCGCGGATTTGAAGTCCTTGATGAGATTAAATCTGCACTGGAGAAAGAATGTCCTCAAACTGTTTCTTGTGCTGATATATTGGCACTTGCTGCAAGAGATTCTACTGTATTAGTAAGTAGAGCCAATATAGAGTTGATCAGAGTACCTCTTTAGCAAAATTTTTTAAAAGAAACATGAACTTTACTTTTTTTGTTTGTACAGGCTGGTGGACCAAACTGGGAGGTTCCATTGGGAAGAAGAGACTCCAGAAGTGCCAGTTTAAGTGGCTCCAATAACAACATTCCTGCTCCAAACAACACATTTAGTACCATTCTCTCAAAGTTCAAGAGACAAGGACTTGATCTTGTTGACCTTGTAGCTTTATCTGGTAAAAGTTACTCTCTTTTTTTGTGCTTGCTAATTTTTTTTTATCCAGACTAGTAATCACATCTGAGAAGGGGAGTGCCTTGGTACGACCGGTAAAGTTGTTGCCATGTGACCAGGAGGTCACGAGGTTCGAGCCGTGGAAACAGCCTCTTGCAGAAATGCAGGGTAAGGCTGTGTCCGGTAGACCCTTATAGTCCGACATTTCCTTAGAACCCGCGCATAGCGGGAGCTTAGTGCACCGGACTGCCATTTTACAAGAAATTACACGTGAAACCATATAGTAGTTAATACCAATAATTTGTTATGCAGGGAGCCACACAATTGGAAACTCGAGATGTACCAGCTTCAGACAAAGGCTCTACAACCAGTCAGGAAACAGTCAACCAGACTCAACTCTGGATCAATCATATGCTGCCCAATTGCGCAATAGGTGCCCAAAATCTGGAGGTGATCAGAACCTATTTTTCTTGGACTTTGTCTCTCCCACAAAATTCGATAACAGCTACTTCAAGAACTTGTTGGCTTCAAAGGGCCTCCTGAACTCAGACCAAGTTCTTGCTACCAAGAGTCAAGCATCATTAGCTTTGGTGAAACAATATGCAGAGAACAATAGGCTTTTCTTCGAGCACTTTGCCAAGTCTATGGTTAAGATGGGGAACATCTCACCTTTGACAGGTTCCAGGGGAGAGATCAGGAAGAATTGCAGGAAGATGAACTGATCTTAAGAGAGTACATTACCTTCATTGCAGCAGCAGATATCAATAATTGTGCCTCTATCATTGAACTTTTATGTATTTTTCTATTTGTGTTCTTCTTCCAACATTTTTTTTGGTTTTTTCGTCCTTGAGGATTTCACTGCTTGTGTGCGCCCTCACGGACCCCCTTTTGTTCGAGTATTTTGAGTTGCTTTATTAAAAGTGTGCTAAAATTGTGTGTAACATCTCTTATTTTCTAGCACCATCATACTTATAACATTGGACCAAGTGAATCAAACCAACTGAAGCTACAGACATATTCATATTAAATCAGTTGGAAAAACATCACTTGGTACAGGGCTGAGGATAAAAGGAAACAATAATAAGGAAGAACAGCCGTAACATAAACGCCTTCAATTACCAGCTAACTCTTGATTACTAGAAAACTTTGCATAAAGTATAAACTACTCAAACAACGAGAAAGAACCTGCATAGACTAAGAGCCCGTTTGGAAATAAAATTTGATGGAAGTTTTTTCCAAAAATATTTCACTTTGTTTTTTGGAAATCAGCGTTTGTTCATAACATTTTCAATTTTCACTTGAACATGCATTTTGGAAATTTTTCGAAAAGTTTAAAAAAATTCAAAAAGTTATTTTTCAAAATTTTCACTCAAATCACTCACAAAACTTCAAAAACAACCCAAATTGAAATTTATGTCCAAACACAACTCTAAATTTCAAATATCATTTTCAATTGAAATTTTTTTTCGCCATTTTTTCGAATTTTACAATTCTTATGTCCAAACGCCTACTAAGAAACTAGCTCATTAATTTGAGTAAGCGTGATGAGAGGGGACTGCCATCTTTGGATATCTTGCTTTTGTGTTTGATATTGCAAAATCAACCCATCTTTTAATAATCCGCCCAAATTTAAAATTGTTATAATTATGACTCGTTTATTAACTTGACCCAATAGGTTGAATACGAAATGATTCATTAAACTATTGGATCAAAATAGTGTAATATTTCAATATTGTTAAGCAGCATTGGAAATAAACAACTATGAAAAAGAAAAACATAAAAAGTTTGATAATCTATCTACAAAATTTCAAGAACATCTGAAAATTGTCCTTTATGGTATTATTTATTGGGTGTTAAGTTCCATGTCTTTCTTATTTCTAAGCAGCATTGAAAATAGACAATCACACAAAAGAAAAACAACAGAAATTTTATAATCTGGAAACTCTCAAACTTTTAAGGCATAAATAACATTTCCATAACTTAAGGGGGCCAAGTTAATACTCTGTATGCTAAGTAGGCCTAAAACCTCCCCTCCCGAACCTTCATACTTCCCTTAAACCCATATTTGGGTCGCCGCCGTAATCACCGTCTCCGGCACCTTTACAAAGTCCAAACAATTCTCTAAATAGCTCTTATGCAATATTAAGGCTCTGTAATCATGAGGTGCTTCAATCGATTTCTCTCTCATTCTCTATCTCGCCGTTCCAGAACCATTTCCACATTTCATCAAACACCTAATGTGCATTCTCTCTATAGACGACTCCCTCAGTCCAAGATTCAAAATATCTCCAAAACCCATTTCTATAGTTCAAATTTCACAACGTCAGCTCAGGAATCAAAGCCGGCCCCACCAGAGAGAGTATCAGCGATAGTCGATGAGATTTCGGGTCTAACGTTGCTGGAAGTATCAGATTTAGGTGAGGTTTTGAGGAAGAAAATGGGTATTGAAGAGATGCCTGTAATGGCAATGATGATGCCCGGAATGGGATTTAGTGCTGGAGGGATGAAAGGAAAGGGCGGGGCAGCTGCGGGGAAAGCAGAGGAGAAGGCGGAGAAGACTGTGTTTGAATTGAAACTTGAAGGGGGATTTGATGCCGGGGCAAAAATCAAGATTATTAAGGAAGTAAGGTCTTTTACTGATCTGGGACTCAAAGAGGCTAAGGATTTGGTGGAAAAGGCTCCGACTGTGTTGAAGAAAGGCGTTACAAAAGAGGAGGCTGAGAAAATCATGGAGAAGATGAAAGGGGTTGGAGCTAAAGTCACTATGGAGTGAGGTAATTGTTCATGTCATTCTAAATTAAAAAGCTGCTAATGAATTTGAATCAGTGGAATGCAATTCTTAATAATAGAGAACGAGCCAAGCTGGATAGATGCACAATATTTCTCAATGTTTTGTGTTGCTGTGATATAGAGACTATGAAATCAAAGATTTTCGGTTATCCTACAATTATAGGAACGCATGATAATTGTTTTGCAGAACGTATGATATTGTTGTATTTCCTGCTTTCATATGCTACATAATTCTGTTTTCTCACTATTTGGTCAGTTGATGCAATTTTTTTATTTTTTTATTTTTTTTTGTATTAACAATTTTGAAGCATGTCTATTCAATATCTTAATATCGGCCCATGAGCAAAATATACTGAGCGGGTGAGCGCACTGAGTGGATTCCCTGTACTTTTAGCAATCTTTAGAATCTAATGAATTAGTTTAAAAATCTGGTAAAAACCTGTGTGGAAGCATAAGTTGGTTTGTACTAATGCTGAATCTTTGTTTACGATATGATTCCTCGCTTTAGGTACAAATTTATTGTTATCAGGGGGGGAGAAAGTTGAGTTTACTAGAGTTGTAATCTTCTTTTCTTTTTAATACGTTATGCATGAAGTGTGGATCGTCCTTGGCATGATATGCTGCCTGATGGAGGACAGTTGGATTTTCTGTAGTCTCTCTCAAAGTCTAAAAGGCTGATTACAAAGCTTGGGTGGATTGAAGCTCTTTTTAAATAAAAGTGCAGTCTGGTGCACTAAACTCCTGCAATGCATCTGGGGAAAGACAGGAGCACATTGGGGTTATTTTAAGCTTCCTTTAACTTGCATTTCTACAAGTGTGTTATTTCCGGAGCTTGTACCCTTGACCTCTTTTTCACATGGCAACAACTCTTATCATTGCGCCAGTGCTCCCCTTTGGTCTAAAGCTCTATTGCATGTTCCTCAAGCTTATCTTGAAGGCAATGCAAAGTCTTTCATTACCTAGGGATTCTCTAATTAGTTTTAGGGGGAAATAGTTGAATGGGACTGGCAGAACAAAAGTGAATGGGGGAAATATTCTCAGAGTTCCAAGTGGAAGAATTTAAGTGGGTAATCACTTCACTGTGCATCTTCCGTTGTTTGATATTTTGGAACCAAAGGAAATTCTACTTCCCATTCCATTAGTTTTACTCAGTGTGTAGCTGATCTTTACTATTGGATCATCAATATCTATCTAATTTGATTTGGTCAAAGATGGTCATATTTATCTTTTCTTTTGAAGAACACACTGTTGAAGGTTTTCGTAACAATTACATCATATAATTAGTCATGTAGATATCTACTTGTTGTGAATAACTTCTATTAACCTGCATGCATTAGATTCTTACTACTAAGATATAGTCTCTTGGAGGTTTAACCTTCATCTATCAAACTGTTTGAGATGGGATTTGTGTAACCTTCTTCCCTATATGTGGAGATGAGATAACACAGATTTTTTCTTTTTTTGCTTTTGTTCTGGGACATAGGAAGGGGTGCCCTTTCTTTGTTGCATTTGTAGATGACTTTTGATATATTGCAACCTGATTCATTGGCCGGTGACTTTTTCTTGTAAAGATGAAATGACTTGGAAGCACTAACGGCTAGTGCTTACATTTTCTTTACGTGCTTATACAGATTCCTTGATTGTATCTTTGCGACAAGGTTTGGGAGCTTACAAGTCATGATTTTGTAACAGAATCTACATTTGGTGATGCATCAGGTTGGGAGGTTCATGGTTACTAAGCAAGCGCTAACCAGCTCAGAGGCTATCTTTTCTATTTCGAATAAAGGAGACCTTGAGGTTCCTAGGACCTTCTAGAGCTATTTGGTTGAACTGACATCTTAAGATTGATGCACAATGTTATATAGATTTGACAGGTTATGAGCTTAAAAAGCTATCGTATATTTTGTGACCATGGGTTAGTTTTCCATCCAGTAAGACCAATTTGTACTTTTTCTTTAAATTATTTAGGCTCCACTTGGTTTGAGATTATCATGACAAGGTTCACACAGTGACAGAAAGCTTCTATTCACCTTTCAAGTCAAAGAATTTAGGAGTGATGATGTTTTCTTGGTTGGACCCTTTGCGATTATGCATGAGGAAATTTTGAGTATGTCATATTTTTGTTTATGATGACTATCTGTTTAACTCAAGTAGATAGCGCATAAGCGTATAATTGATTGCGGATGAATTTGTAGTTTCTTGCGTCCAGCTATCCCCTTCCCTTTTTCCTTCTTGAGCCGAGGGTCTTCCGGAAACCGTCTCTCTGTCTTTTTAAAGGCAGGGGTAAGGTCTGCGTATACTCTACCCTCCCCAGAGCTCATTTGTGGGACTACACTGGGTTTTTTGTTGTTGTTGTTGCGTCTCGCTATCATGTTGTGGTTGAGCTTCTCTAGCTGCCAGCACCGTTCTTACATTTCTTTTCATGGTATTCCAACTCAGTGTATCAACAATCCGCAGCTCCCACATTATATCGAAGCAATTAATGTTGAGGTTTTTTTGTTTTTAAGATGAAATAGTCTTAAAATGAGGGTGAATGGGAAATGGAGGGAAAATGAAATTTTTGAGTAAAATTTTAAGTTTTCCCCTCTTGACAATGAGACATTGTCCCATATTGGAAGAGAAAAAGATTTTTGGTGGGTATATATATAATTGCTTTTCTTGTAGCTCTTAAAGAGTTAAGAAGAAAGCAAGCATCGCGCCGTCGTCGTCGTCGTCGTAGCTCGGCTCGGCTTCGGATTCGGATTTGGTCAAATGATTGATTGATTAATTTTTTGGACCAAATTTATTTGTTAATAGTAAATATTAACGTAAGATT